TGTATTGAATTAGTATAAGTATCAATATGTAATCTAATTTCATGTAAAATATTATGTTTTTGAAACCATTCATACATATCTTGTGTAGTAAAATTTTTTTTATCATTATCACCTTCAAGACCAATCTGAAGATATTGAAGTGATTTCATATTATGTATAAATGATGGAATTGCATCACGAAAATCTTCAAAATGTGGTAAACAAGCTGAAAATGTTTTCAAACGAGGAAAATTAAAACGTATAGCTTGTACTGTTTCATATGATATAACTCCATCATATAATAAACTAAAATGTTGAAGTCGTTGACTTAATAATAATAATAAATGTTGATTTTTTGGTTGAAATATTTGTTTTATTAATATACGATGATTACTTGTTATAGTTAGTTTAGTCATATTTGGAAGACCTGAGAAAAAAAGCAGATCAGTTCTTTTCATAATCCAGTTAATTTTCGTAGTAAGTTATTTTTCTGTAATTGAAAGTATAATTCATAGTTAGATTAGTGAGAAATCGAATGCTTGAGAACTGTCAGGAGAAGATGTTCAAATGAATTTGTTTTTGTTATAACCGGAGCAACAATGTGGTGGAATGACAACAGAATGGAAAAAAAAGCAAAGCCTTCTTTTTTACAAGACGAAGAATCGAATCTTGAATCTTCGTTTTAGTCAGCTGATCTACTAGCAATATATTAGAAAGAATATTGTAACCGAAAGGGAACATTTAAGATATGACAATTTTAAATGAGTCATATCTTTAGGATGTAATAATTCGGTGCATGTAGAACAAATCACCGCTCTGTGAAATTGGTAATTTAGATTTATCTTTATTCACAACAATTTCTCATATAAATTATTTTAATAATTCGGCTCTATTTTCAAATCTTAAATAGCTAAGCACAATGGATGAGACGATATCCAAAAAAAAAGAGAGTAAACCTATTATGTAAAGTATATGAGAGTTTAATCAATAAATTGATTCTCAGTACTAGTCTTGTTTCCAATTAGACAAACGTAAATTCGAGCTTAATATGCAGATATAGGCGAAATTGACAACTTTCGTAATTGGAATCGTATTGGAATCAGCAAGTGTAAGTTTTCTTTCAGATTAGTATTGCTCGTCTCAAATTACGAATATGACATTACTGAAAACAACTACAATAGTGTAGCAATAAATCACGAATCAATAGAGATCACAAAGATCTTTTGTATTACAATAAACATAATTTTGTTCAAGAACAAGAAGATGATGAACCAAATATTCATAATAACAACTTGTTTTTAGACTTTTCCAAGTGTGACTAAAAGAACAATTGTAATTTGTTACATATATATACACTCTTTGATTGAAACGTATCTATTTTCTTCAAAAGAAATAATGCTGTTTTTTAAAATACTGTCTAAGTAAATTTTTGAACAATTAATTTAGCTCTTTGTAATAAGACAATGAAAAATTTTTGTTGTCCTTCATGAAAATGTTTGTGATTCCAATATTCTTGAAATTTGGAAGTGGAATCACCCATCCCATATTAATATATCCACAAGTTATACATGATTAAAGTCAATTGTTTTTAGTCCTAGTTCTGAATTATTTCTCTAACAACATCAATAAATTCATATATACATATATATGAAGTCATTATATTTTGACTCATTTAACTCTACTATTCTTCTTTTTTACATAAACTTTTTGATATTTATTACTCTGATTTTGCCTCTCTATATTGATACTAATCTTTCTTGATTTTTCAACATTTTAGAAATGACATTATCTATTTCAAATCTTTAAAATATTCTTTTTTTCCGTTCAAATTATAGGTTTGTAATAAACTTACGTAAGACAAGTTCATATAATATTATCACAGTATGACATTTACCATTTAATGCTAAATGTTTAATATGACTAAGATTAATTATTTTTTGAATATATATTCGAAATAAAGCACTTGATACATGTTGTTCAAATCGTATTGTTAATGTATCAATATTAGGAAAATATCGTGAAAATTTATCTAATTCATATCGCATTTGTTTATTACTATAAATAGTTAAAAGTAAACGATTAACATATTCATATGTATTTTTAATAAATGATGAATATGTATTATTTGTTGAAGTCAAAACAATATCAATTGGATTACCCCATCTGTAAAAGAAAATCAAGAACGTCATATATATATATATATATGAAAATATGCTTGCTTACTGATTTGAGAATTTTTGATCTGGATATGGATTTGAATAAAAAATTAGATGAAGATCATTTTTATCTTGATAAAAATCTGTTGTAAATCTTATCTGACGTTCAATCCAAAAAGAATTATTTTTAAATAATAATAATTGTGGATAAAGTTCATCAAAATCTGCTGATGTTAAATGCCATAATTCACTATACAATTGAAATTTTTTTAATAATGGCCAATAATTACTAATAATCATTTCCCATTTATCACTATTAACATAATCAAAACCTATTCGAAACAAAAATTATTTTTTTTTAAATATTCAGTGTTT